AGGCAGAACTCAGAAACCAAAAAGATAAATGCTGAAAATGCATTGTGTAAAACATTTAAAACCTTTATATGGTAAGAATAAAAATGACAACAAGAAGAAAACACCACAAATAGAGCCAAAGACAAATGACACAGTAGGAAAAGTTGCAATCCAACAGAAAAAGTGCTTATTTCTTTATTTTACTAAAAGATCTTACAGTTCTATAAGGGAAAAAATGAACAGAAAAAAACACATAAAGAATAGGAACAAATATTTCATACAAATAAGTATGGCAAAAAGCCGGGTGTGGTAGTTCATCCCTATAATCTCAACACTTTGGGAGGCCAAGGTGGGAGGATCACTTGAGCTTAGGAGTCTGATACCAGCCTGGGCACATAGCAAGACCTCGTCTCTACTAAAAATAAAATCAATTAACTGGACATGGTGTTACCTGCCTGTAGTCCCAGCTTCAAGGGTGGCTGAGGCAGAAGAACTGCTTGAGCCTGGGAGATGGAGGCAGCAGTGAGTCATGCTCGTGCTACTGCACTCCAGTCTGGGTGACAGAGCAACGTCCTATCGAAAAAAAGAAAGAAAGAAAGAAAAAAAACACTTGAAAAAATACTTAGCTTCATTAGTGCTTAGGAAAATGCAGGTCACAACAATGTGATACCATTTTTGCCTACGAGTGACAAAAATTTTTAAATTTAATAAAACTTAGTTTTGGCAAAGTTGCAGTGAAACTTACCACTGTTGATGAATATAAAGGAACAATTTTTTTGGCGGTTACAATTTGGGAACATCTAACCCAATCCTAAATGTACATATATTTTGATCCAGCAATTTCATTAAAAGGAATTTATCCTATAGTAAGAGTCATACAAGTCCCCAGTGATATGTGTATAAGGATATTTCATCAGTTAGGCAACAAATAAATTTATGGCCCATCCAATGGTTAAAGCATCTACATGTGCTATTATGGAAAAATTTCTGCTATATTACTAAATGAACAAAGCAAGGTATGGGATGCTATATATTATTTTCTCTGTGTAAAAATGCAGTCTATTTTATATATCCTAATATGGAAAAAATACATCAGAAATAATTAACAGCGCTTGCCTTGTGATAAGAGTGGGAAGGAGATTTTTCCCTTCCATTTTAAACCAGTTTGAAGTTTCAGTTTACAGTTGCCCCTTGAAGAACATGGGTTTGAATTGCATGGGTCCACTTGTATCTGGATTTTTTAAAACCAAACTCAGATTAAAAAATACAGTAGTTGGCTCACACCTGTAATCCTAATTACTTGGGGGGGAAGCTGAAGTGTGAGGATTGCTTGAGGTCAGGAGTTTGAGACCGGCATAGCAACATAGCAAGACCCCATCTCTGTATTTATTTTCATTTTTATGTATTTATTTATTTATTTTGAGATGAAGTCTCACTCTGTCACCCAGGCTGGAATGCAGTGGCATGATCTCAGCTCACTGCAGCCTCAACCTCCCAGGCTCAAGCGATCCTCCCACCTCAGCCTCCCAAGTAGCTGAGACCACAGATGGCTGCCACCATGCCCAGGTAATTTTTTTGTATTTTTGGTAGAGATGGAGTTTCACTATGTTGCCCAGGCTGATCTCGAACTCGTGGACTCAAGCCATCCACCTGCCTCAGCCTCCCAAAGTGCTGGGATTATAGGCATGAGCCACCGCACCTGGCCAAGACCTCATCTCTTAAAAAAAATATATACAGGCCGGGCGTGGTGGCTCACGCCTGTAATCCCAGCACTTTGGGAGGCCAAGGAGGGCAGATCACGAGGTCAGGAGATTGAGACCAGGCTGGCTAACACGGTGAAACTCTGTCTCTACTAAAAATACAAAAAATTATCTGGGCGTGGTGGCAGGTGCCTGTAGTCCCAGCTACTCGGGAGGCTGAGACAGGAGAATCGCTTGAACCTGGGAGGCGGAGCTTGCAGAGAGCCGAGATCGCGCCACTACACTCCAGCCTGGGTGACAGAGAGAGACTCCGTCTCAAAAAACAAACAAACATATATGTGTGTGTGTGTGTGTGTGTGTGTGTGTCTGTGTCTGTGTGTACACACACAGACACAGACACACACACACAGTATTTGCAGATGCAAAGCCCAAATATCCTGAGGGCTGATTCTTTGTATCTGCAGGTTCTATATGGCCAACTGTGGAGCTTGAGTATGTATAGATTTTAGTATATATAGGGCCCTAGAACCACTCCCCCCAAGTCTACAGAGGGATGATTTTTTATGGTCATGTCTTACTTTTACAATGGAAAAAAAATGCACAGATTGTGCCTTGAAACAACTTTCAAAATGTCAATCAGTGCTCCTTATGATAGTTTTGAAGACAAAATTTTAATTACTGAAATAGGACAAGGTTGTGTGCAGGGTAAATTGTTTTTAGCTGGAGATGCAAATATGCAAATGGTACTGATCCATTGCAACTGGAAGTGTGAATTTCAGAACCTAGGAAGATTGGATCAGAGCAGTTACCAGGTTCATCCTTGAAGCAGCTCAGGTTCAGCCTTCAGCCAGACTCCTATTGGAAAGCCCAGCAAGGGAATAATAATATAATAGGAAATTTTCTTTCTCCTTCTCTTTCTTTGCCTCTTTGTGGAATTTCTTCAGGAACATGCAAGTTAAAATATACACATGACTCAGAGGTACTGAGATACGAGAAAAATTTGCCAAGGTGCTTGGATGATTCTTCCTCTTTACAAATGCATCATATTTGTGCCTGGCTGGTCCTCTTTAAGCACCCAAGGTATTAATCTGAGAGGACAGCCTCTATCAGGGGAACATTTTTTTGTTCTCAGTGAAGTGGCACATTCAGTTCCTGGTGCAGGCTCACTCAATTTCCATTAGTCATTTCACAGCTGTATCTTGGGAAGAGAAAATTTCAAATACTTTTGGCTGATTTCACAAGTAAACAAAAAACAAGGCCTTCCCTCTCTTCTCACAGATCTTGTTTGTTTACAATTTTCAAGTCAATAAAACACGCCTGTCTTTGTAGATGTTTCTCCTAAGTGTGTTAGCTGTCTGCTGACCTACCTGCCTGGCTTCCACTCTGCTCTTGTACCTAGATTTGTTGCCCTCATGTTGCAGGTGAATGCTGGACCACCCACTCTAGTTTGTTATTAAATCGACAGTACCATTTTTGTTTGGTAGTTGATGATTCTAAGGTTGTTCATGGACACCTTTTAGAAACGAGGGTCAACTACCAAGCGAAATACTGGATCCGATCATAGGTCTGTTATTTTTTAAGTTGTTTAAAGGCATCAGATTAGCACTTTGGGAGGCCGAGGTAGGAGGAGCGCTTAATGCCAGGAGTTTGAGACCAGCTTGGGCAACGACAGTGAGACTCTGTTTCTATTGTTTATAAAATTAAAAATTTTGAAAAAGGATATTAGATGAGTGCACAAATTTGTTATTATAGAGTCACTGTGAATACTGAAGATGCACACAGGGGGATCATTACTGTAGGGTGGTTTGTGACAGCTGGCCCTGTTTTAGTTATTTCCTGAAGAAGACACTTGAACAATTATTGCAATGCCTCCTCTCTGTAATTACAATAATAATCATGATGATTTTGCAACTCAATATTCAATTCAGGGTGTATACACTCAACTACTGTTTTTAGCTTGTTTCTCTTTTTATATTGATGTCAGCTGCTGTTGTCAGAATTGAAGAACAGAGAACCATTTTTCTGGTGAAGGTCAATGAAAAAAGTAATCTGGGGCCAATACAGGGAGTTATAAGAAAAATAATTAGTTAAGATTTAAGGAGTGCTAACTATGAGCTAGTTTTGTTTTTCTCCTTGGAGAGAGAAATATAATATTTTCAGCACTTATCTGCTTTTAAAACTGATAGAATATCTTATTTAACCCTTTTCCCATTTAGGAAAAAAGTGTAGCTCGCTGCCAGCACTCATTTAATTTTACATAAACATGCTCTTTGAGGCGGAAGCAAATCTGACTGATTTTCAATGTGAAAATAAAATATAAAAACTGTTCTTAGAGTTAATTCTAAACAGAACTAACATGAGAATCGTCTGAGTCATTAGAATTGTCTGAATCATCAGAATTGTCTATTTCAGAGAAATGGGATTCATCAAACGAATCTTCGGCCAACTGTTCGTTAACGATGTGAACATCACACATAGGAATGCTACGTTTTCTAGGATTTGACATTTTCAGCGATTGAGAATTACTGTATTTTGTAAATGGAACTACCACCTCTAAAAATAGAATGCTATTAACAGAATGATGTCTTTTGTTTCCAAAGTCAATATACTAGAGCGATGTGAAAATAATAATAAAAGCGAGATATTTTGTGGTAAAGTTATCTCGGAGTAAATGCTGCAGCCACAAGTGCTGCTGGTGAGTATTCTTGGGGCAAATGAGAAAAGGGTTAATAATTATAACCATCTGAGAATGCTTTTGCTTCATATTATAGCCAATTAAGGAGCTGCGAGTGGGAAAGATGATGAAACAGAGAAGATGTGTAATTGTGGGTAAGGAGAGAGAATAGAGACTAAAGGAAAATAAGACATGGAAGGAATAGTGAGGTGCAGAGGCTGAGAAAGAAATACAAGAAATAAGTGCAACAAGAATGACAGTGACAAGGTTGGAGAGCAGGTGAAGGAGACGGCAGGCAGGAAGGGAGAGGAAGGGAAAAAGAAAAATGGATGGAGATTGGGGAGAGAGATAAGACTGAGAGTTTAGAGGGTGGGAAAAAAAGCATTTATGTTTGTTTTTAAGATGAAAGTGGGGCTGGGAGAGGTGGCTTATGCCTGTAATCCCAGCATTTTGGGAGGCCGAGGTGGGTGAATCACTTGAGGCCAGGAGTTCAAGACCAGCCTGGCCAACACGGCAAAACACCGTCTCTAGTGGAAAAAAAAAAAAAAAAATTAGCCAGGTATGGTGGGACACACCCATAATCCTAGATACTCCAGAGGCTAAGGCAGGAGAATCGCTTGAACTCCAGAGAAAGAGATTGCAGTGAGTCGAGATCACGCCACTGCACTCCAGCATGAGGTGATATAGTGAGACCCTGTCTCAAAAAAAAAAAAAGAATGTGGAATCTCTAGAGCATGGCATTCCTACCACCATCACCTGTTACCGGTTCTGTCTTTGAAATACTGATTAGTCACTGTTCATAACTTTGTAGGTACTCAAATCATTTTAATTGTAGACGACCTGGTGGATACGGCGGGAAGGCAGAAATGAAAATCTTACAAGGTGGATGTTTATGCTGGCTGCCATTGCAGTATTTGGTTTCTTCATGCTGGCTTTTCAGGAGAAATTCCAAAGGGAGGAGGTGAGCTCAGCTGTCAGTTACTAGCAGCTTCCTGCCTCTTATTATTCTAAGACTTAATGTGGGAAAGTCTCAATCTTGGCTGTACATAGACATCTTTTGAGGAACATACAAAAATGTTGATACCTATGGTAGATTAAAGAAAAGTTGATGCCTAGGCCCCACCCCTAATATGTAATTGGTTTGTGATGTGGGGTGAGGATTTTTAAAAGTTCCCCGTGTGAAGCCAAGGGAGAGAACTGCTGCTCAGAGGCTTCACTATAAATATGTTCACCAGAGAATCCCATTATAACACTGATTATTTTTGGGGCTATGACATCAGTGAACTAAACATTCAGTTGGATAAAACTCAGCCAAAGGCCAGAGGTTCTTAACCTTTGTGCTATACATGTAGTAACTGGCATAGCTGTGAATTGCCCATGGAGCTGTGGGAAGAAGATCCTCTTGAGGCTTATTTGGAACTCTACAGGAAGAAAAGAAATCATCAACATAAGAAATGTCTCTATTAAAAATTATGTTCGAGAAATACTGGACTTGATTTCAACATTATGAGGGCATCTAGCGTCTCTTGGAAGGCAAACTTCAATTGTCCTTTTCAGACTAGTCTGAAATCAGTTCAGGGAACCAGGAGAAATGGTTTGCTTCTTTTCTGCTTGTTTGTTATGGTCTATAGCTCAGTTCATTCCTTGTCACACAGGACAGTCCTGTGTTTTCTTGCCCTCTGACCTGCTCTCCAAACTTCCAGAATATGGTTCTTCTCAGGAGTGAAGCTATCTAGGGTTTGTTATCACCAGACTCTCCTACCTCTGTCATTCCCCAGTTCTCTCTGTTGCAGTAACACTGAAACTTATTTAACCTGTCCATCACCTGTGCTGATATTTTCAAGAGGAAGAGGTGGAGACAGAAGTTGTCCCACCAGCCCCATCCTTTGATGCCAGGTAACGTGTACAATATTTCCATTTAGAGTGGGCTTCCGGAGCCAAAACTCCCAATCTGGGAAGGGATTCTAATATGACAACTTTCATGTGAAATAGGAAAAGTTTAATTGACAATCCCACAGGGGCCAATACCTATAGGAGGATGAGATTTTTTCTAGATGATCGTGCCATACTCTAGGGATAGCTTTTATTAGAAAGTATAGTATTTGGCCTGTGGCCTCAGGGAGCTAATACTATCTCTTTCACCTCTATTATATTTTACATTCCAACCCTTTCTGAATGCTCCATTATATTAATTCATTTAGCATCTGACTACTCCATTGTGAGCTCCTCAATAACCAGGTGTACACCCAGCCCCTGACTCATGGGAGGTGATCTGTAGATGTTCACCGAACAAATGGATGAAAGTTTAACCAATCCAAGTGGAAGCTGGGGGAAAATGAAAGGAACTAGTTCCGTCTCCTTCACAAAGACCAGGCTGCCGATCTGACTGGTGGTGATGGGAGAAAAGTATGGAAGATCTTGACTTAACATTTCTACCTGGAGAGCTGGGGTACTCTTTTCCTGAGCCAGTTTCATTCTTCCCAAAAGGCCTTTTGGTTCCAAATACACTAGGCATCAGTGTTAATTGCTTTTCTGAAATATCATTTTGTCAGCTTCATTTAGATGTGGTAATTTGCAAAGCAACCCCCAGCAGTTGACAGTTCATCCATAGCTGAGTGGTGTGCAGACATTTCCTGGGATTCCTGCCCGCCTTCTATGCAGCTGGCAGTGTTTGCCAAACCAGCATATGTGCTCAACTGGGATTAACTTGGAACCAGTAGTGCTTTGTTGTGTCTGAGATTTTTAAAAATTCTGCAAGGGTGAAGGCCCAGCCGTTAGTCCAGAAAATAAAAGTGCAGTAACTTATAATTTAAGAATTAGCAGGTGCTTCGAGATGACCTAGTCCATGCTGGGTGGATGAGGAAATTATGGTTCTGACAGGTTCAATGAGAAGGTCAGCTGGCTGGTCGTTGAGAGGCCAGGTCTACAATCTGTATCGTTTGTGTGGTACCAAACTGTGCACTGGGATCTCTAGATTTATGCTTCTGTGGATGTGTTTCAGCTACTGTTTCTTTTTGAAGCTCTTTTTCCCTGGCCAGAGACTTCCTGAACCTCCTTCATACATGCTTCAAGGTCACAGCCCAGACCAAAGTGTTTACAAAAAAAACTAAGCACTTATAAAGAGGAATTATTGCCAATTCCTGAACTCCCAACGCCCCAGCTCCAATTAAGCTCTGCAAAACCAAGGAAGGGATGAAGTGGTCTTTGGAACCAGGAATTTCTGGGTTTGGATGCCAATAGGAAAACATGTGAATTCTGTCTGATTTCTGCAGCAGGCGGAGGCTGCAGCTGCTGCTGCTGCCACCTCCTGGGAGAAGACAGACCTTAGCTTCATACCTGAAGCCAGCCTCAATGTTCACCTGTGTCTTGGGCAAAGGGCCCATTGGGGCAGGAGTGAAATTACTTTCTCCTGGAAAATAAAAGGGATATCCCCTTACTCAACAAACAGAACCCTGGTATTCTTTGCTTTTCATTTGTTCGTTTTGGCAATGTTATGCTTGAATAAATAATCTTAAACAATGACAAAGTTGTAATGAGTTAATACCGGAACCATGAGTGAGCAGAAATAAGATTGAGGTAGAACCATTTGTTTTAGGAATGTATCAGAGATTCCATCTCTTGGACTTCTGAATCCTGGGGTGATGTTAGGGTTGCAAGCACTTGAGAATTGTATGATACAGAGGACACATGAGTTTGGTTAGTCTCAACCTCCAAGAATCTCGGTTTACTTGTGGGGCTGTTATGAAGATTGAGATAATGCATGTAAGTTCCTCATATGAGAAGTGTTCAATGTGAATTATTTTGAGAAAAGTTCACTCTTACACCCCCATTGTGATTTTCTACATTTATGGACCAAAAAAAACTGACCAACAGCCCCATGCCTTTCATTCTTTCTAGTCTTCTGACTTATAGATGATCCCTAAACATACTCCTTTTATTTATTTAAACATAATAATACACTAGTGAGAAGAAATTCAGGAGGAATTAGGAGATTCAATTTAAAAAGTATTTTAAAAGTATTTCTTGAGTGCCTATTATGTGCTGTATGTGTACAATATAGGAATAGGCCTCAAAAATGCCCCATGAAGTATATTAGGAAGACCAGGCACAGTGGCTCATGCCAGTAATCCTAACACTTTGGAAGGCTGAGGCGGGAGGATCTCTTGAGGCCAGGAGTTTGAGACCTGCCTGGGCAACATTGGAAGACCCTGACTCTACAAAAAAAATAAAGAAATTAGCTGGAGGAAGTGGCCCACGCCTGTAGTCCTAGCTACTCAGGAGGCTGAAGAGGTAGGATCACCTGAGCTTAGGAATTTAAGGTTGCAGAGAGTTATGATCATGCCACTAGTGTACTCCAGCCTTGGCAACAGAGTAAGACTCTGTTTCTAAAAACAAAACAAAACAAAAAATTACATTTGGAAAGTGATTGAGAACTGGGGACTTGGGTTCTAGACTGAGATGTGTAAACAGCCTGGTTGTATAAATGACCTTAGGCATGGCAGCTAACATGTTTGGATATTAGTTTCTTCATCTGTTGCATAATAATATCATAAAAGGAAATGCTTTTATTCATAGCAGAGCTTGCCTAGGGGATAGCGCATTGAATACTGTGTTGTGCTTCAACTGCCCTTTAACAGCTAGCACTGTTAAAGAAAACATGAATTTTGTTGATCCTAGTAAGCTGAAGCAAAACCCTTACAGGACCTATCTGAAGACTTTTTTCCAATGAAATATGGGTCTTCTATTAACCAATCATGTGGACAGCTATGGATTTACTCTGGCCTATTTGGAGTGTTTGTTTTTCATCCTTTGCTGTGGTTTGAATGTTTGTGTCCCCTCCAAAATTCATCTCGAAAAATTCCAATGCAATAGCATTAGGAGGTGGGGCCTTTAGGAGGTAGTTAGGGAATGATGCTCTGTCCTCATGAATGGGATTATTAACCTTATAAAAGGGTTGGAAGGAACTAGCTAGGCCCCCTTTCTGCCCTTACATCCTTTCCACCATGTGAGCACACAGCTATTAGTCCCCTCTGGAGGAGGCAGCAATAAGGCATCACCTTGGAAGCAGGGAGACTGGGCCCTCACCAGACTCTGAACCTGCAGGTGCCTTGATCATGTACTTCCAACCTCCAGAATAGTGAGAAATGAATTTCTATTCTTTATATGTTACCCAGTCTCAGTTACTTTGTTATAGAAGCATGAACAGACTCAGCCTTAAATAGCAAAGCAACCACGAAACCCTTTCCTAACAATTAAAAACACATGCTTTTTGCCCTCAGCCAACTGGTGTGTTCCTTTGCCTGAAAAATAAACTCAGCTGTGTTTGTTTTTCTTTGTTAACTTTGGTGGCCTTTTAGTAATACTATTATTTGACAATATCTTATATTTGAACAGTGCTTTAGAGTTTACTTAGTTCCCATATAGCAACTTATTTGGGAAGAAATGTGATGCAATCCAACAGGATGGGCTTTTGAACCAAAAATATTCTGGGTCTGTTACTGATTAGCTCTATTTCCTTGGATAAGTCATTGTATCAGTAAAGGTCCCGGTCTCTGCCTACAATTCTTTCTATTCAGGCTTTGTGGGGGTGGCTTTTCATCATTGTAGTAGTTTAAGTATTACCTTCTTAGAGAAGCTTTCTTTACTATCCAATCTAAAAATTACCCTGGTTTAGTCTCTACATAGGACAGACTAAAATTATCTAGTGGACTTATTTATTATATTTATCATTTTTTGCCCCACCAGAATATTAGCTCTGTGAAGTAGGGCTCTTGTATGGCCTGTCTGCTTACCCCTGGCACATCACAGCCTTTCCATAAATATATGTTGCAAGAAAAAGAGAGTGGATAGTGACAAACCAAACACAATGAGTTATTCTCTCTCTCAGGGAAGTATTTAATATGGGGACGCATACTGAAAGGCATTGGAGAGTGATATGGTTTGGCTCTGTGTCCCCGCCCAGATCTCATCTCAAATTATAATCCCCACCTGTCAAGGAAAGGACCTGGTGGGAGGTAACTAGATCATGAGGGGGATTTCCCCTATTCTGTTCACATGATAGTGAGTTCTCAGGAGAGCGGATGGTTTAAAAGTGTTGCACATCCCCCCTTTCTCTCTCCCTCCTGCCACTTTGTGAAGAAGGTGCTTGCTTCTCCTTCACCTTCCACCATGATTGTTAAGTTTGCTGAGGCCTCCCCAGCCATGTGAAACTGTGAGTCAATTAAACCTCTTTTCTTCATAAATTACTCAGTCTCAGGCAGTTCTTCATAGCAGTGTGAGAATGGAGTAATACAGAAAATTGGTACCAGGAATGGGGCACTGCTATAAAAATACCTGAAAATGTGGAACTGACTTTGGAAGTGGATTACAGGCAAAGGTTGGAACAGTTTGGAGGGCTCAGAATACAGGAAGATGTGGGAAAATTTGGAACTTCCGAGAGACTCGTTGAATGGTTTTGATCAAAATGCTGATAGTGATATGGACAATGAAGTCCAGGCTGAGGTGGTCTCAGATGGAGATAAGGAACTCACTGGAAGCTGGAGCAAAAGTCACTCTTGCTATGCTTTAGCAAACAGACTGGTGGCATTTTGCCCCTGTCCTAGAGATCTGTGAAGCTATGAACCTGAGAAGGATTATTTAAGGTATCTAGCAGAAGAAATTTCTAAGCAGCAAACCACTGAAGATGTGATCTGGCTGTTTATGAAAGTGTACAGTCATATGCATTCACAAAGAGAGGATCTGAAATTGGAACTTATGTTTAAAAGGGAAGCAGAGCATAAAAGTTTGGAAAATTTGTGCCTGACTATGTGGTAGAAAAGAAAAACTCATCTCCTGGGGAGAAATTCAAGCTGCCAGCTGCAAAAATTGAATAAGTAAAGAAGAACCAAATGTTAATTGCCAAGACAATGCAGAAAATGTCTCCAGGGCATTTCAGAGACCTTCAAGGCAGCCCCTCCCATCACAGGCCCAGAGGCCTAGGAGGGAAAAATGGTTTCTTGGGCTGGGACCAGGGCCCCACTACTCTGTGCAGGCTTGGAACATGGCATCCTGCATCCAGCCACAGTTGGGGGATGCAGGGTGCCATGCCTCTTTTAGCCACAACTACAGCTCCACTTGTGGCTAAAAGGGGCCAAGGTACAGCTTGGGCTGTTGCTTCAGTGTGTGCAGCCCCATGCCTTGGTGGCTTCCATGAGGTGTGGGGCCTGCAGGTGTGCAGAAGGCAAGAGTTAAAGTTTGAGAATCCTCCACCTAGATTTCAGAGGATGTAAGGAAACACCTGGATATCCAGGCAGAAGTCTGCTGCAGGGGTGGAGCCCTCATGGATAACCTCTACTAGGGCAGTGCAGAGGGTAAATGTGGAGTGCAAGCTCCCACGTGGAGTCCCTACTGGGGCACTACCTAGTGGACCTTGAGGACAACAATCCTTCAGGCCTCAGAATGGTAGATCCACCGAGAGGTTGCATTGTGCACCTAGAAAAGCTGCAGGAACTCAAGGGCAGCCCATGAAAGCAGTCGCAGGGGCTGTACCCTGCAGAGTCACACAAGCAGAGTTGCCTAAGGCCTTGGGAGCCTACCTCTTGCATCAGCATGCTCTGGGTGTGAGACATGGAGTCAAAGGAGATTATTTTGGAGTTGAAGATTTAATGACTGCCCTGCTGAATTTCAGACTGGCAGTGGGGCCTGTAGCCCCTCTGTTTTGGCTAGTTTTTCCATCTGGAATGGGAGCATTTACCCAATACTTGAACCCCTATTGTATCTTGGAAGTAACTAATTTGTTTTCTATTTTACAGGCTCCTAAGCAGAAGGTACTTACCTTGTTTGAGAAGAGACTTTGGACTATGAACTTTTGAGTTAATGTTGGAATGAGTTAAGACTTTGGGGGACTGTTGAGGAGGAATAATTGTATTTTGCAATTTGAAAAGGACATGAAATTGGAGAGGGGTCAGGGCAGAATGATATGATTTGGCCCTGTGTCCCCACCCAAATCTTATCTCAAGTTGTAATCCCCATGTGTCAAGGGAGGGACCTGCTGGGAGGTGAATGGATCCTGGAGGTGAATTTCCCCCATGCTGTTCCCATGATATTGAATCTCATGAGATCTTATGGTTTAAGTGTTTGGGACTTCCCTCACTGGATTTCTCTCTCCTACTGCCTTGTGAAAAAGGTACTTGCTTCTCCTTTGCCTTCCACCATGATTGTAAGTTTTCTGAGGCCTCCCCCAGCCATATAGAACTGTGAATAAATTAAACCTCTTTTCTTCATAAATTATCCAGTCTCATGTAGTTTTTTTTTTTTTTTTTTAATTTTTATTTTTTGAGACAGTATCTTGCTCTGTCACCCAGGTTGGAATGCAATGGCATGATTTTGGCTCACTGCAACCTCCACCTCCCAGGTTCAAGCAATTCTCCCCTCTCAGCCTCCCAAGTAGCTGGGATTACAGGCATGCATCACCAGGCCCAGCTAATTTCTGTATTTTTGGTAGAGACAGGGTTTCACCATGTTGGTCAGGCTGGTCTTGAATCCTGACCTCAGGTGATCCACCTTGCCTTGGCCTCCCAAAGTGCTGGGATTATAGGTGTGAGCCACCCTGCCTGGCCTCAGGTAGTTCTTTTTTTTTTTTTTTTTTTTTTTTGACAGAGTTTCACTCCTGTTGTCCAGTCCAGGCTGTAGTGCCATGGCACGATCTTGGCTCACCGCAACTTCCACCTCCCAGGTTCAAGTGATTCTCCTGCCTCAGCCTCTTGAGTAGCTGGGATTACAGGTATGTGCCACCACACTCAGCTATTTTTGTATTTTTAGTAGAGATGGGGTTTCTCCATGTTAGTCAAGCTGATCTCCAACTCCTGATCTCAGGTGATCCATCTACCGTGGCCTCCCAAAGTGCTGGGATTACAGGCGTGAGCCACCGCACCCGGCCTAGGTAGTTCCTTATAGTAGTGTGAGAATGGACTAATACAGAGAGTAAAAGATGACAGCTTGTGGGGGATGATAAGACAACTGGGTCACTAGAGCTGTTGTGTCATCACAGCTGCTGTTATGCCTAAAATATGATGATCCATTGTCCAGTTTTCCATAAGGTTCAATAGGTCTCAATCTTTGAATTGCAAGGGAACTAGAGAGACTATAAATTCCAGGATTTCCCTGTGTATCTTACAATAAACCCCATCACTTAAAATCATGTCCTATAGACAAAGGAGAGTCAAGATGTGCTGAAGAGTACTAAGGGCCTAACTACTAGCAGCCTTCTGCAGATTTTGAAATTTCTTTTGTCTTCTATTTTATCTTAACATTGTTGACCTAAAAGGAAGAAGCTGAGGCAAAATTAATATAAATAGAGAGTTTATTTGGGACAAGCTTGAGGGTTGCCACTCAGTAACATAGATTCTAGTTGCCCTGAATACACATTCTGAGTAGCAGCAGTTACAAGTGGATTTTTTTTTTTTTTTTTTTTTGAGACAGTTTCACTCTTGTCACCCAGGCTGGAATCCAATGGTGTGATCTCGGCTCACTGCAACCTCTGCCTCCCAGGTTCAAGTGATTCTCCTGCCTCAACCTCCCAAGCAACTGGGATTACAGGCACCTATCACCATGCCCAGCTAATTTTTGTATTTTTAGTAGAGATGGGGTTTCACCTGTTGGCCAGGCTGGTCTCAAACTCCTGACCTCAGGTGATCCACCCACCTCACCCTTCCAAAGTGCTGGGATTACAGGTGTGAGCCACCACATCTAGTCCTCAGTTTTAACTGCATAAGATTTCCATAACCTTTAAACATTTTTCTATTAAAGAGCAGATTAATGCTCCAAGAAAACCCTGTTACTCTGAAACAGGGGTCCCACATCAGTGCGCTTTAAATATCAATGCTTAATTTTTAGAAAAAGTCAATAATCTCCTTCTAAAAAAAAAATAATAATAATCTTCTAATTTTAGCCAACTGTATCACATACAAAATTCTTTTAATGACATTAATCTTCCACAAACCTTTTACAACTTGCTTATACCTTCAGTTTTGTCCTATACTTCATTTTTTTAATATTGGTATTCTACTTAGGACAAAGATTTACTATCCTCTTATCATTTTGACCAAAGTCCTCTCTTAGGTAAAGGAAAAAAATTACCCTTTTCAACTTTCTTTACATCTTCTTTATATGTTTCTGGCCTAGTAGTTTTAGTTACATATATTAACCACAATGGTAACCCTTAGTAACCCTAATTTTCAGTGAAAAACCTAAGAATTAAGCGACTTTAATTACGTACCAGAGCTCAGAACAAATGATAGTGCTACGGAGACAATGCCTGGAGGATCCAACTCCTTGCAGTATACCCAAGAGGCATAGTTCAACTAGGGATGATGGGGCCCAGGCACTGTCCCCAGGGCCACTTGTCTAGTACTCAGAATCTAAAGGCTGAAATCCAAAGATATAAGCTCACAGACAAATTAAGCAAATATCAAAAAATAACATAAAAGCAATGGCCTTAACGACCTTAAAACATTTAGCAGAGACAGTATAAACCAGTCTGACCAACAGATCTAGGCAAACACGTCTAAATTAAAATTTGAAGATGTTTCTATTTTACTTTACCAATAATTTAAAAACTATCTTAGTTTAAACCCAAGATTACTAAAGTCAAGGGACCGTGAAAAGCATTTGGGTTGGTTATATTATTTATAAGCACTTTTTCTATAAGTCAATGGTACCATGTAGACAATATATAAACAGACATGTATACATGTACACATAAATCACCCAGACACAGATAATGACTTTATAGCTTTAATTTAAAAATTTTAGCCACATTGAAACTGCTGGTGAACTGAGGTAAGAAAAACAAAACAAAACCAAGCAGAGAAAAAAAATTTTAGTCATGAGACTGGTAAAACTCACTAGTTTAATAGGACAGTTAGATTCAAACTGTACCTTTGTAAATGGAAAAGTTTAAAGTTCAAAGGAAAAAAGTTTTCTTGACTCTGGAAGAAGCTGAGGCTTGTACTGAGTTTTAGAGAAAATGGGGTAGTAAATTTATATCTCAAAGCACAAAGAGAAAGAATTTAAGCCTTTTCAAGGAGGAGTTTGGGTATGTTGGAGGAAAATTAAAAATGGATGCCAAGGTAACATGAAATCACAGGAATCTATCATTGGATTTTATAAGGAGACCTATTTCACTTAGATAAGTAGCTTTTAATGTAGTCTGTTTTCCAGTTGGATCACTGACCTCAGGGCAGAGCCCATTAAGGAACAGGGTCAACAAAACATTTAGAGTTTTTAGAGCCTAATAATTTAAATATGTGAAAAGCAGGTGCAATTGAAGGCAGAGCATCTAGATCTTTAAAAATTAAGCATTCCATTTTTAGGCTGAATCCTGGGTCCCCAAAAAGAGGGGAAATACCATGGGACTGGGCCATGCAACACTTCCATGGTGTACTTCAATACAAAAACATTTCTCTAAGTATTTAAACCATGCCTTTCTTATCTTAATGAGCAAAGAAACCAGTAACTCCCTGTAGTAATAATAATAACCATTCACTGTAAACAACTTCTGTCAGTCAACTCCAATATTATAATTCTCATCAGTAACTTGCCAGCCATCACACACACAAAGGTTAAGTGTTCTTTAACATAACAGAATAATATCCAGTACGCATAAAAGCCAAAGGGATCAGGTGACATGACACAAAAGAGAGCAGAGTTTTGTGCTGGAAACTGTCATGAAATCTCTCCATGACTCTTCAGACTCCACAGGAAGACAGAAGAACCCAGAAAGAGTGAGAGGCATCTTTTTCTGTCTTCCTTAAGGGGTCTGAGTCATTAGAAGTCTCCTCTAGATCCTTTCATGTGGTACTGAAGACAGCAGAGAGTGGGACGAGGTTGAGTCTCATTTTTGTTTGTTTGTTTGTTTTTGAAACGAAGTCTTGCTCTGTCGCCCAGGCTGGAGTGCAGTGGTGCAATCTTGGGTCACTACAAGCTTCGCCTCCCAGGTTCACTGCCATTATCCTGTCTCACCCTCCTGAGTAGCTGGGACTACAGGCACCTGCCACCACGCCCAGCTAATTTTTTGTATTTTTAGTAGAGACCAGGTTTCACTGTGTTAGCCAGGATGGTATCGATCTCCTAACATCGTGATCCGCCTGCCTCGGCCTCCCAAAGTGCTGGGATTATAGGCATGAATCACCATGTCCGGCCCTGGTTTGTTCGTTTTGAGAGAGAGGGTCTCTCTGTTCTGTGATACTGAAAGAAAAATAAAAAAATAGAAACAGGGTCTCACTCTGTCACACAAGTGGGAGTGCAGTGTGGCATGATTACAGTTCATGTAGTCTTGACACATTCTGGGCTTAAATGATCCTCCCACCTCAGCTTCCTAAGCAGCTGGGACTACAGGCACGCACCACCATGCCTAGCTAAGTTTTGCTTTTACTTTTTGTAGAGACAGGGACTCATTACATTGCCCAGGCTGGACTCAAGCAACCTTCCACTGTGGCCTCCCAAAGTGGTCTGGGATTACAGGCAGGAGCCACCACGCCTGCACGAATCTGTTTTTAATGAAGCTGGCTTTTGACTATGGAGTTCTTAAACACTTTTCGAGGAGGGGCCAAGATGGCCGAATAGAAACAGCTCTGGTCTGCAGTTCCCAGCAAGACCAACGCAGAAGGTAGGTGATTTCTGCATTTCCAACTGAGGTACCCAGTTCATCTCATTGGGACTGGTTAGACAATGGGTGTAACCCACGGAGAGCAAGCAGAAGCAGGGTGGGGCATTGCTTCACCCAGGAAGTGCGAGGAGCGGGGGGACCTCCCTGCCCCACCTATGTGAAGCCATGAGGGACTGTGCTACTCAGCCTGGGTACTATGCTTTTCCCATGGTTTTTGCAATCCAGAGATCAGGAGATTCCTTCATGAGCCTACACCACCAGGGCCCTG